TAGGAAAATTACAAAATTCATAAAAGGAAGACATCTCACCTCCGCATCAGAACAGGGACTACCAAAAAACCAAAACCGTTAGCAAACCATCTGCAAGCTCGTGTTCTTCCATATAAAAGACCCTCTGCCTGCAGTATGGAGAGGTCCCTGTCAAAGGTCATTATCACAAGGAAAAAGTCACCAATTAGTGCTTCCTTCATTTAGGACTCCTCGAACCATTCTCCCCCCCTGCCTCACCTAGAGAACCAGAGAAGTGGTTGACCTTGTGCCATTCTGAAAAGTAGGTTCCGGCTGACTTAAAAACATGCACGACACCCTCAGTTCACTGGACTGAAGTCTAAATTCTGGGGTGACGATTGTGAACCACAGACGTCAGCCTGACGCGCGTCTCTGAGAGCCCAGGTGGACGAAGGAAGAAGCGGGAGCCGGAAGCTGGACCAGCACCTCCGAGGCCTCCTGGGCTGGTGCCCTAAGAGAGGAACACGCCCTCATTGCTCCAGGAAAATGGGTCCTTGGAATTTTAACACCAAAAAAAAAAAAAAAAAAAATCCAACCTGCCGAGTTTCCTCTTTTGGGCCAAAGGAAAGCACCCCCATGAACACTTACAGAATTTCCTTTCAGACAGCAACCTCCAGACCCACCTGGTGTCTGGGTTACCCAGCACCCACAGCGTGTCTCCGTCAAGGAGGGCCCGCTTTGAGCCGCCCTGTCTGGGACCATCAGTAGACTGCTCCTCCAGGGACTCCAGTGCAAGGAGGGTCGTCTACAAGCAGCAAGAGCTGTTTGGCCTGAACAGTGGCACCGACCGCCCTGCGTGGCACTGCGGGCACATTCGCAGAGGCAGCCCCAGCCTGTGTCTCCGGGCGTGGGAGCCCCTTGCCAAGGGCACCCTGCCCCGCAGTGGGCCGTGCTCAGGTCAAGGGTGCAGGCTTCTCACTCCCAGCCTGGAGCGCATCCCTGCTGGCTGGGGGAGCTGCAGGCACGTTTATTCTGGCGGACTTTGCGAGATAAAACACGTTGTCTTTGGAATGAGTGGAGTGCAAGAAAAATGTCTGAGCAGGCCATTTCGCTAGACTTCCTACAGCGAGCCCTGGGCCGGCTGTTTCCTGTCTCAAAAGGTGGCCGTGTTTGATGGGTGTGGTGCAGGGCAGGCCGGTCTGGCTGCATGCAGACACGCCTGGGATCCTGCCAGTTGCCCTGGCCTCAGCCCCGCTCACTTGTGTGTCATTTCTCACAGGGCTGCTTGTCCCATCCTCTTGGCCTGGGGGGACAGCTGGTCACCCACCATCCCTGCTGAGACCCTCGTCGTGTCTGGCTCGCATCTGGGTCCGTTAGCTGTGAGGTCTGCCGCATCCAGTTATATGCATGAGCCCTTGACCCCAAAGCAGGTGGAGACCAATCCAGGCCAGCACCATCCAGGCCACTCTGACTCCCGTCAGCCCGAGGAGCTGCCACACGGGGAGGGAGGTGAAGGCAGGCTCGCCCTCTGACAGGCTCCGTGGGGCTGACACTGGAACAGCAACCAAACTCACCTTGCTCTTCTGCACGTTCTTTAGCCTTCCAGGGCTGAGGAAGGATGTTCTGGCTGCAAAGTCAGAATCCTAGACAAGGGTTAAAGCCCCAGACTGCCCGGGGGAGGCAGCCTCTCTGCCTTGGGCTGGGCACGTGGAGAGTCCCTCTGGGTGTCAGATCCTCCAAGCAGGTCTTTCTTTCCTCGGAACACCCCCTGGCGAGCTCTCTGCCTTGCTCCTGCCTGGCCTCCCTGCTGAGGCTCGGGCCTCCCAGGGTTCCCTTGGTCTGCACTGAATCCACCTGCGCCCCGGGCCACCCAAGGCCACCTGTCCATGGCTGCGGTGCTAGGGTACCGGCTTGACCTGCGACTTGGGTGTTGGGCTGTCATTGATGTGAGACCCTGCCAGGGTGATGTCTGTCGCCACAGTGTCATTGTCCTGCAGTGGACACGTGAAGGCAGTCACCCTGCTCGTGCGGGAAGCAGGCAGAGGCCAGGTGGCTGCCTCCAGCACTGTCCCTCCCACACTTCACACTTCTGCCGCAGGAAGGGGTTGAGGCCCTCTCGAAACTGCACACTGCTGCTGCACACCCCTGTGGGCTCAGGACAGACTCAGGACAGGCTGGGGCGCCGCAGGGCACCGCCCTGCACCTGCCAGGCGGCCAGCGCGGTCGTGCTGGGGGCGTCTCTCGTGCACCACACAGTTGTCCGTTCTCGTCTGCTTTGCTTCTCCAGCCTGGTACATGTGCCAGCTCACGATGTTGAAAAGCACCCAGGAGATAAAGGAAGTAGAGGGGGTGGCAGCACCCCAGGAAGTAAACACTCTGGCGGGAAGGAGCCGAGCGAGGTGACAGAGCTCGGCCCCGGCCTCCTGCGAGGCTTTGCAGGCTGGGAGCAGGATGAGGGCTGCAGCCCTTTCTGTAAGGGGTGGGTCAAGAACCACGATTCTCCACGAGAAACGGGAGTTAAGGGTCCTTGAAGCTGCAGCGTCAGCGGTGGCCCGGCCGTGGGGCGGCGGCAGAACTGGCTGGAGGACGGCAGGTGGGCGAGGCTGATGCCCCAGGCTGGGCTCTCACCCCGCTCTGCCTGGTCACACTCTCAAGCCAGGCCCCTGGGAAGGGCTGGGCCGGCGACCCTCTGTCCAGGGGCTGCTCCTCCATCTTTCTCCTCCAAGGCAGGTGCTTTCCCCCTTTCTCTGGACTTTGGCTGGCTTCACTTCTTGGCCACCAACCAGGGACTCTGGCCCTTCAGAGGCAGGGAGAAACAAACGTTTGAGGACTGGCACCTTCCAGGGGCGCCCTGGGCCAGGAGGTCCCAGCAGTTACCTTGCTGGACCCCCAGGCTCCTGAGATTTGAACCCTCTCTCTCTACCCCTTTTTCTGTCTTACCCCGGATTTTAGAGGTGAGACAGCCCACGCTCCTGCTCCCTGGAAGGTTCTCCCTAGAGCAGGGCCCAAGCGCAAAGGCAGGGGCCAACGTCTGCCGCGCCAGCTCCTCTCCCAGGTCCCTGCCCTGCCCTCCCTCTGGCTGGGGCTCCTCTGAACCCCTCGCGAGGAGTCCGCCCTTCTCCACTTTTTCCAGGTAGAGCCTTGGGTGCCTGACCTGTCACAGTCCCAGGTGGGGGAGAGGCCAGGCTGGCGGAGTGTGGGATGGGGCGTGAGGAAGCCAGGGAGGGACTAATTGGAGGGAAGGGGTTACCACTCCAGCCAGGGTCCCCTAGTGTTTCTGGGGGGTCGTGGGGATCCTCCTATGTGCCAGGCGGCCAGCGCTATGCTGCTTACTCTCTGAATTCTTAGTGCATCAGGGGTCTCCAAAGGGTCCATGGAAAATGTGTGTGATGAAAAACTCAGCACACATTTCCAATTTTTTGGTGATTAAAACAAGCTCATCTTTTAATCCCTGCTCCCTTTTAAATAAACTTGTTAAAGTCTCCCAGTAGAGACCAGCGTGAGGAAAACCACCGTCCAGCCACTCTGGCCCCTCGGAGGGCTGAGTGCCCACCTCCCTTCTGCAGAGCACAGGTCCACGTGGTTCCGTCACTCAGGGTCACGAAGCACACGCATGCTGCACCCAGTGCTGCAGTATCAACTCCACGCATGCTGCACTCACAGCCACATAGCCCGGCGCCCCAGCCCTCCCAGGAGCTGCCCATGCGATCAGAGGGTTTCAGGGGGCTGAAGAAGGCTGGGCCCACGGATGTCACCCAAGTTCACCAAGGAAGGCTCAGGAAGCAGACCTGCTGTGAGTGGCCGCAGGCCAGACCGTTTAGTTCCTGGAAGGGAAGGAACTAGAAGCAAGTGTCTCGGCTTGATGCACAGTGCTCCCCATCTCTTACCAGCTGACCCCAACTCTCCCTGCCTCCGTTGCACCCCATTCTGCCAGAAGTCAGGCTGCAGGGAAGGGAGGACGGCCCTTGGCCTGGCAGTGTGGGGCTGCAATAGGGAGGTGTGGGTGTCTGTGCGCGAGGCCAGCTCTTCCTTTAACCCACAGGAGCACCAATTCTGAGTCCTGGTTGTTCTACTTCCAATCCAGCTAACACTCCTGGGAAAGCAGTGGAAAGCGGCCCAAGTACTTAGACCCCTGCCACCTACTTGGGAGCCTGGGATGGAGCTCCAGGCTCGTGGCTCTGGCCTGGCCCAGCCTTGGCCATTGAGGCCATTTGGGGAGTGAACTAGAGGATGGAAGGCCCCTCTCTCTGTGTTTCTCTCTCTCTGCAACTCTGCCTCTCAAGTAAATCAATCTTTAGTAATTGAGAAACTAGGTTCCCTGACACTTTTACTAAGCAGTGCACTGTGAATGGAAGGCAAGAATATCTTATTTTTATTAAGAGATAAAAACCATGTCCTGTCCCCATCTGACCCAGATTTATGAGTGCTTTCTGAGTGGCACACGTGTCGCCTTGAAAATTCATATTAAGTGAACAGCCATGGTCAGCAGTAGCCGGGCCTAGTGACTATAGTGCAAAAGGGGAAAAACAAAACGGCAAGCAAATACAGCCCTCTCCCAGCCATGAGCAGTAGCATCCGGCCCCTTTGCAACCCCGGAGGCCCTTGCGACAACTGAAGCTTAAACGCTCGATGGCACTCCCGTGAACTGGGTGTTGCCATATTCGTTGCCTAACAGAGTCCTTCTCCCTCCCTCAGTTGGCCAAGAACATTCCCAGACATTTCTCCATACTTCTGAGGACCCCTGCTTCTGGGACTCTCTGGTTGCCCAAGAAAGAATGTGTCTAATTCAGTGATTAATCAGGGCCGTGAACTGCCATGTTTCATTTCTTTTTAATAATGAAAATCCGTTAAGAGCTTAAAACATTCTTGGAAACACCTAGCTTGGATAATATCATAGACTGTCATGTTTATGTGAATTTGTGCATATGTGAGCCAGCCCCTCAGTGTTGGCTGCCCCCGCCCCGCCCTGCCCCTTGGCACCGGAACACAATGATTTATTAAGCATCAGTACTGAGTAAGTGTGCACAGACTTCATGCAAACATTCCAGCTGTACTCACAAAAAATGTATTAGAGACTCGTACAAAACATCTTGTAAACAAAAGGAAAGAGGTTGCATTTTCTGTACAAAATATGCAGTTTTTCTTTTTTTTAATAATCTGTAAGATGCATCGTACTTCTGGCATTTTCAAAAAGTGAAAACTGTATAAAAATAAATATTCTATGTACAAACACACACACAGGCCAATCCACGGTTAGAGGCGTCACTGCAAAACAAAAGCAAGAACAAAACAGCACACAGTTAGTTTCTGTGGGCTTGTGATGTTCATGAAGAAAGGAGGTGGAGCTTGTCCTGCCTTGGATCAGGGCTCCAGGTAGCAGAACCTGGAGAACCAGGAGTCCCCTGGATTGGAAGCTCCGGGCAGGCGGGAAAGCCCGCTTTTACCTCCAGGCACTCCCTGTCCTGGCCACCAGAGGGCAACATCTCTCTGGGCAGCCTTCAGAGACATGGCCCAGGAAGGAACTTAAGGAGCCAACAGGCTTTCTAAGTTGCTTCTGCAAGACACTGTGGACTCCGGACAGTGGCTCTCCTCTCCCTAAGCGCAGCCATTTCTGTCTCCTCACCATTGCTGGCAACCTCCAAAAGGACCATCTTTGCTGCTGGGGCAGGCAGGGGGCTGGGGAGAGGTCTTATTCAGCACCCCTCTGACCTGCCCCTGTGGGCTTGATCTGGACTTAGTGACCCAACAGAGGATGGGGGCTGCCTCCTGGGGTGGCGTCTCCCTTAAAGCTGGGTGTGTCCCTTCTCTGAGGTACCCAGGCAAGTAGGAAGTCGGCCGAGGACCCGGCGTTTCGGTGGTACCCTTCCTTTGACCTCATCTAGTGAGCCAGTGGGGTTCTGAGCATGCCTGGCAGTGCGTGGGAACAGGGCAGGGGTCAGTGTGGCTCCGCCGCTCCCGACGCAGGAGTGGGTGAGCTGAGCACAAACGCCGGAACAGGCTGGGGTCCAAGGCAGTGGTGGTGGAGGCTACGAGAGGACTGGGCGCTGCGGGCAAGGTGGGGGAGGCGGCGCCTGCAGGGGGCAGTGTGGCAGCTGCGGCCTTTGTTGGAGACCAAGGCGGGGCTTTCAGGCTAGCAAGCCAGTGGCTCTTAGGCCAGCAGCCCCGCCCTTTTGGGAGCTGTGGCTGAACTGCTGTGATCTGTGGCAGTGGCCCCAGGCCTATGGCTCCAGATGGCTTTAGCAAAGGCAGATGCAAAGCACGTGTGAATAAGGCAAACTCAAACCTCATTGCTGGCAGGAACTCTGGGAGCCCAGGATGTGGAAGCACAAGGCCACACCCCCACCTCCGAGTGGCAGCATGGAAGCTGTGCCGGCAGTGTTGCCCTGTGGAGCCCCAGGGACACCCACGTGCCCAAGGCAGGGGCGACCTCTGGGGAAGCTTACCTTGTTCCAGCAGCCCTGGACAGGTAGGCCGTCTTCACCCTGTGGTGGGGAAAGAAGGCAGAGGCTCAGATTCCGACGCGGCGTGGGCAGACAGGACAGGGCTAGCGAGGGCCACGCACGCTGGGCAGCGGGTCAGGACGCACTCCCACTGTTGTCTGTTTCTTTACTACACGTCATAAGCTCGAAGGGGGTGGGAAAGAAATGGGGCCGTTTTCCCACTGGCCAAGGTCATGTGTCGCCATGGGCAGGGTCGAGAGGGGCTGCAGTAGGCTGCGGGGTGGGCCACAGGGACACCCTTCGTGACGTGTGAGGTCAGTCTCTGCTGTGGCTCTGGGGAGTGCTGGACTCTCAGGGGAGAGTCACCCGGAGCGTGGTAAGACCCGGGCCGAGTAGTTGCTTGAGGTGGCCTCTGAGGCCCCTCCCAGCCCTCCCACCCTCTACGCATGGGCAGGGGGTGCAAAGGGACACTGCCCCGTGGCCCCGGGATGCCTTCATCGAGACCTGGTTTCTGACCCTGCCTTGGGCGTTGCTGGGAGTGGGGGTGGTTAAGTGGCAGTGGTGGCAGTGGCAGCAGTGGGGTGGGGACAATGGTGGCAACCACAGAGCACCTTATAGGTCAGGTGACGGAAACCCTGCTGGGTCTTCTTGGGCCTTAATGTCCTGGCCTCTAGGGCATACCGTGGAAGGCGGGGAGGCTGAACCAAGGGCAAAGCTGGTTCTTGGGTCACGTCTATTAGGAAGGCAGCCCAGATTCTAGAATTCCAGGCTCCAGGGTGGAGAGGAACCTGGGCCAGGGGTTCAGGGCTGCAGTAAGGGCACGGGGGTCTTCTGGTCCTGGAGCAACCTCACCCACCCAGGCCAAGCGTGTGACCTGCTCATCCCTCATCAGGAGCTGGCCCCAGCGGGGAGGGCCTGGGAGCCCTGTTGTCTGGTGCTAAAATCACCATCCATAGCCTCCCTGCCATGCTGGCCTGAGGTGGGAGGCAGACAGGGCGACAAGAACGGAAAGATGCCGACACCTCCCCGGTGTGATTAATAGACAGGTGACACATGGATCCATGCGGTTATCACATAAAGGGGCCAACAGGGATGCCCGTCCTTGTCCCCTGAGGGCGGTGGGTGACTGCAGGGCAAGCTGGAGCAATGCTCGGGTCCCTGGTGACCCTCCGCCCCGCCCTGCCCCTGCCACGGTGCAGCACGCTTCCCACAACCCTGGAAGGGAGAGGAGCCTCCGCGGGCCACAGCCCCATTCCCATTGGCAGGTGGGGGGTGATGGGAGGGGTGCAGCCAGAGAGACGTGTGATGAAGAGCAGGAGGCCAAGGCTGCCGCTGGCGATAGTGAAGGTGCCCAGGTGTGGGGAGGGGACTGTGGCCCAGGGAAGCTGGGCTGATGATTAATGGGGCAACAAAGGCGCCTGTGTGCGCATGCTCAGGTCAACAGGCAGGCCTGGGGGTCAGGAAGCGGGCGGCTCTGGGTGCTGGTCCTGTGCTCCCCTCCTCCTGCACATGTAGTCCTAACGCATCCCTGGTGCCTGCCCAGGGGCTCTAGGGTCACCTCTCCTCTTCACAGTCTATCACTGCTACGAAAACAGCCCCTGGACTCCAAAGCTCCCGAGGGGCTGGGTGGGGGCGAGCAGGAACCTCTGGAGCCGGGGCCTTGGGTGAAGCACCGCCACCGCTGCTGTCTTGTTAGGATGCTCAGAGGCCTGCAGCTGCAGCCACGCACATCCCTGCCTCAAGAGGGGCTGGGGCAGCGGTGAGCAAACTGCTGCTGCTGGCCCGGGACAGGCGGGGCAGGGGCTCCTTGGCTGTCTCCTCCTGGACCGGGGCAGTGCTTCCAAAAGCTCATGGGAAATGCAACTAAAAGCGAAGCTTGCTTTGGTTACAATGTGCATCTCCATGAGCTCTGTGAAGGCCCCTGCATTCCTGACCTCCTCATCGCTCTCCCACTCTTTCAGTGGTGAGGTTTCAGCCAGAGGACAGACCTGCAGGATCTTGGTCCGCCCTCTGGTTCTGATGGTGCCAGCTGGAAGAAAAGGCACAGCAGACCGGCGCCGCGGCTCACTAGGCTAATCCTCCACCTAGCGGCGCCGGCACACCAGGTTCTAGTCCCGGTCGGGGCGCCGGATTCTGTCCCGGTTGCCCCTCTTCCAGGCCAGCTCTCTGCTGTGGCCCGGGAGTGCAGTGGAGGATGGCCCAAGTGCTTGGGCCCTGCACCCCATGGGAGACCAGGAGAAGTACCTGGCTCCTGGCTCCTGCCATCGGATCAGCGTGGTGTGCCAGCCGCAGCGCGCTGGCCGCGGTGGCCATTGGAAGGTGAACCAACGGCAAAGGAAGACCTTTCTCTCTGTCTCTCTCTCTCTCACTGTCCACTCTGCCTGTCACAAAAAAAAAAAAAAAAAAAAAAAAAAAAAAAGGCACAGCAGCCCCTCCTCCACCTCTGTTCTAGAACTTTGCCATCTCTGTCCCCCAAGACTCGAAGTAGTGGAGAGGGTGGAGTGCGCTCAGGCATCTCATTGTGATCTCATTCTAATGCACAGCCAGTCATCTCGAAGGAACTGCATTGCACGAAGGAAAGGAAGCCCCAGCTCCAGGGCCTGTCTGGAGCATCCACTCGCTACTTTGATCCGGGGCAGCAGATTAGTCTAGCAATAGTTGGGAGAACAGGATTAGAGACAGCCAGAGCGGGCTTCAGCGTGGTGAAGAGGGCGGACACTGAGGTGCTGTGTTTACAGTCAGCTGCAGGAGGAAGCCAAGAGAACATCCCAACAAACTGCATGCAAGAAAGTGCGGCTGGGAGCCCCGGGGCACTCGCCAGGAGGAGGGGATGGTCGGGTCTGCAGAGTGAAGGAGCAGGGAGTGGACACTGATGGAGGGTGCACAATGGGCATGGAGGCACGCAGGTGCAAACCACACACGTGGGGAAGCCCACACCGGCCATTCAGGTGAGGGAGCGTGATGCCATACCAATGGGCACGGGGCATCCAGTCCGTCCAGCCCTGGTAACCCTGGCTCCCCCTTCTCTCCTTTAAAACCTCGGTGTCCCTGTTCACAAAACCAACCACGATGATTATTGAGGTCAGGGCAGGGCCGGCTCCGACTGTGGAGCACAGACCCTTCCCTGGCCAGGATGCAGGACCCTCTAGGCGTCTATAGACCCGGCCTCCATCCCAGGGGGCCCCTCTCTCCAGTTCAGCCTGCACGCTCTCTGTGACCTGTGATCTGACCTGTGTGTGTGCACGGCCGTGTCTCTGCGGGCACGTGCTGGGTCTGGCCATGTCTGTGAGCACGTGCCATGTCTGGCCATGCGTCTGGCTCTGCAGGCGCGCACTCTGTGTGTGGCCATGTCTGCGCAGGCGCGCACCATGTCTAGCCCAGTTTTGAGCATCTCTGGCCCTCCCCAGACGCTAACACTGGGGTCCTGCATCCTGCCCAAGTGGGGATTCAGAGAATTTGAAAGGCTGTGACCATGAAACAAAGAAGGCAAACCCATGGCTTGCAAATGCTCTCCTGGCTTCCAGAGGCATCCCGGAGCTGAGAGCTGGGGCCTTCTCCAGCACTCCATGCCTCCTCTGCTTTCCTCACTTGCACACATCAATGGTTCTGCCTCTTCAGAGAGGAGGGATTCAAAGGGCAGGGATGGAGCAGAATGACTTGCAGCTGTGGTTGAACCTCCCCCTTCCCCCAAGCAGGCAGAATTTCAAAGGAACAGGGGGACTTTGGTAGCATCAGTGTAGCCATTTGGTTCTCGTCTTGGTTTATTTGCCTTCTTTGTTCCAACTTGCAAGCCTCAAGGAGAAAGCAGACTGGTGGTAAATGAAACGTACCAATGGACAGGGGGCATCTAGTCCAGGCGCTCCTTGGTCTCCCTTATCCCCTTTAGGCCCTCTAGAGCCTTTCTTCCCCCTCTCCCCCTGTAAACAATGGTTTAGTCCAAGAAAAAAACAACAACATCAACACTTGAGGCTCATTCACATGTTAGGGTTAGAGACAGAAAAAGAGAAGTAAAGAGGGAAGAACAGATTCTCTTACTGCGGGTATTGGGAGTGGAGTCAGTACCCTCCCCTGCAAGCTCCTGGGAATTTGGCTGCAGTGGCTGGGAGGCAGTGGGAGGCCAGGGCTGGAGCTGGAGGGGAATGTGGCCTGGAGACACCCATGGCCCATTTTGCTAATGCTGAGCCTCGGGTGGGGTGTGACGAACAGAGAGGGGCCCACCTGCCTTCTCTCTGAGGGTCCATGTGTGAGAGCCTTGGGCCTGAAAACCTTTTGTCACAATTGCTTTTCACCCCTGTGATATTTTCTTGGGAGTTAGGTGATTGTGGCTGGAGTGCGGAGGTGTGTGCACACATGTGTATGTGAGCACAGCGTGCCGGAGCACATGCATGTACACGCTTGTGCAGGTGGGTATCCGCATGTGCATGAGTGTGTGCACGTGTGCATGTGCATTCCTTCCTAGCTGGGTCCTTGCAGTCTATGCTTGGCTCTGGTTCATCCATTCCAAGGTCATAGATGGCGATTTGGACATGGACATGTTGGTTCCAGGAACTCATTGGCTTCTGAAAAGCTGCTGCAGATGTCATCCTGCTAGGGGTTGGTGCTGTGGTGCAGCAGGTTGAGCCACCATGTGGGTGCTGGTTTGAGTCTGGGCTACTCTCCTGCCAATGCAGCTCATGTGCTTGGGAAGGTGGTAGAAAATGGCTCGATTCCTTGGGCCCCTGAACCCATGTGGGAGACCCGGATGAGGCTCCTGGCTTCAGCCTTTCCCAGCCCTGGCCATTGCAGTCAATTGAGGAGTGAACCAGTGGATAGAAGTGCTCCCCCTCCCCTCCCCCGCCCCATCCTCCCCTCTCCTCCCCTCCCCTCTCCCTCCCTCTCAGTAACTATGCCTTTCAAATAAATAAAGCTTTAAAAAACAAGTCATCCTTCAAAATTGAACCTGATTTTGTTTTTGTCAGCGTCTACTTAAAGAAAGGCTATGGAGAATTCTTAGAAGCGAATTCACCTCTGCAGTGAATTTCGATTTGGGTTTTCATATGCTGTGTTTTCTTTCTAGAAAGGGGCCAGTGTGCGCAGAGGGCGTCTTCCTGGGCACTCTTCTCTCTGGCAGGCCAATTAGCTAATGCTTGGGGGACGTCCACAGTGTTCCTTAGGGTGACAAGATCTTGACGCATACTGGTCACACAAAGGCTTGGAGACCCACGTGAAGCTCCTGGCTCCTGGCTTCAGCCTGGCTCAGCCTTGGCCGTTATGGCCATCTGGGGGTGACCCAGTGGACCGAAGATCTCTGTCTCTCCCTCTTTCTCTATAACTCTTTTTTATGTTTTAAAAAGATTTATTTATTATTTATTTGAAAGAGTTATACAGAGAGAGGAGAGGCAGAGAGAGAGAGAGAGGTCTTCCATCCGATGGTTCACTCCCCAAATGGCTGCAACGGATGGAGCTGCACCGATCTGAATACAGGAGCCAGGAGCTTCTTCCAGGTCTCCCACGCGGGTGCAGGGGCCCAAGGACTTGAGCCATCTTGTACTGCTTTCCCAGGCCATAGCAGAGAGCTGGATCGGAAGTTGAGCAGCCGGGACTCAAACTGGCACCCATATGGGAAGCTGGCACTGCAGGTGGTGGCTTTACCCGCTGTGCCACAGTGCCGGCCCCAACTCTGAAAATAAAATAAATCTTTAGGAAAAGACATGTCTGCCAGTGAGTTCATCATGAGGTGGGGCAGCAGAACCACTGTTGGCTATTTGAATGGGCACGTGTGGCCCCTCATGCTCTCTGCATGATGAGCAGAGCTTCCTGTTTAGGGAGGTGGGCACAGGGGCGTGGGCGTGTGCCAGGCTCTCACTGTGGCCATTTAACCACAGGCGTCGTGTTAGGTGGGTGTGAGCAATCACTTCAGTCAGGTGCTCCCAAAGGCCTTGGAGCTGTGGCTGTATCCACGTCTTCACTGCTCCCCACGCCCAGGGAGTGACATGGAAGAGGCCCTGCAGAGGGGGCACATGGCAAGTAGGGGGAGTGGAGCAAGAAAAGTCCAGGGCAGAGGGCCCTTTAAAGATAGGATTAAGTGTAGACAGTTGATTTTGGAGGAAATACACTGGAAGCTTGCAGAGGGGAACGGGATGGGAGAGGCAGAGGATTTTTATAGTACAGCCAGTGGGGAGAAAGGTAGGAGGAGGAAAGGAAGGGGGAGGCAGGCTGCGGACAGAAGCGACTGTGGGGAGGGGCGAGGAGACAAGGCGACGCAGGCCAGCAGGACATGTGCAGGCACGCGTGCACTGCCCAGGCAGGTGGCTCAGGCAGGGACAGGTGACCTCACAGCAGGCGCAGGCCTTGTCAATTGCCGGCTTGTAGGTGGCTCCTGGGGAGCCCCTACTCTTCCTGATGACTGCATTGTTAGATTCACCCCACTTGTTTTTTTTGATTGATTCCTAAGTCCTACAACGTTTAGTTCCTGGGCCAAATTCACAGAGTTCCTCTGAGACAATGCGGATCGCCTTTAGCTACCAGAGCAGAGCGTTCTTTGCACTCATGTCTCCTTAGCAAGGTCCCCGATTTGGGCTCTGGGCAGCGAAGAGGCTCCCGCCCATCCTGCAGTGGACATGGGGAGACACACCTTTCAGGGTGGTTTTGGTTCACCGTGAGATAGAGCAAACCCCCGATGGGGTCCCCTGCAGGATGGGGCAGAGTCTGGGGGTAGCTGGACGGGCAGTCGCCCTCCGGAACCCACACGGGGTGGGGCTTCACCTTCCCAGGGGACAGCCTTAGCTCTCTGGCATTTTATCCTGACCAGGGTCTGAGCTCTGTCATGAATTAGCCAAGAACTGTGTAGAGCAGAGCAAGTGCTGGCTGTGCCCAGGCTGTTCCTTGTTTCGGATCCCCTCCAAAAGGGCCGCGCGGGCTGGCGTATAAGAGGTCTGACCGAGGAGGGGAGCGGAGAGGCCCCGGCACCCTGAGAGGCCAGTCTCTGGAACGCGGGAACACCTGCTCCTTCACTCAGAAACCCGCTCTCTGGAGTGAGCCGGCTGTCCACTCGGAAGCCCCGTGCTGTCTGAACCTGACCCCCACTAGGTGCCAATGAAGCTGCTCCACAAAGATCAGGGACCTGGGAGAGAGGAGCTGGTGGGCTCCAGCCACAAAGGAAGGATGAGGAAGTGGGAAGGCTGCTTCCCCATCACAATGTGCTAGGATTGCATGTGAACAAAACTAACAAGACCAGGGCCGGGCTCGTGGCACAGTGGGAGAAGCAGCCTCCCACGATGCCAGCATCCCATATGGTGCCAGTCTGTGCCCCGGCTGCTCCATTTCCAATCTAGCTCCCTGCTGATGGCCTGGGAAAAGCAGCGGGAGATGGCCCAAGTGCCTGGGCCCCTGCCACCCACGTGAGAGATCCAGAAGAAGCTCCTAGCTCCTGGCTTCAGCCTTGCTCAGCCACGGCTGTTTTGGCCACTTGGGGAGTAAACCAGCAAATGGAAGATTCTCTCTTTCTCTCTCTAACTCTTTCAAATAACTAAATACATCTTTTTAAAAAGTAACTCTAACCTCCCCAGAAGTCCATGGAAAATGTGTATTTTTGAATTTAATTTTTTAAAAAATATATTTTATTTGGAAGGCAGAGCAAGCAAGCATTCCCATCCACTGGTTCATTCCCCAAATGCCCCAAACAATCAGGGCTGGGCCAGGCGAAAGCCACGAGCCAGAAACTCAGTCCAGGCCTCCCTTGTGGGTGGCAGGGAGCACCCACCTGAGCCCTCATCTGCTGCCTCCGGAGGCCTTGGTGAACAGGAAGCTGGAATTGGGAGCAGTGTTGGACCCTGGCTCTGACGCGAGATGCAGGCAGCCCAACCAGTGTCTTAATTCCTGTGCCAAACGCTCACCTGGGAAAATGTATATTATGAAAACACTAGGCATAGCCATAAAATAGTTTTTGCACCAAAATAAATTATCTTTTAATTGCATTTTCCATGAACCTTCTGAAGTCCTTTCATGTCTGTCCTTTATCTGTGGGATGGGGGAAAGTATGTGAAACGCTCTGACTCCTGGGCATCAGTGGCTCGCTCGGCGACCTTGACTCCCGCGGTATCTGAGCCGCCAGCCACAGCCCGCCCTTCCGGCTGTGACAGGAGCACTGCGCCTGCCTCCACCTCCATGGCAGCACCTGCACCACCACTTGAAGGGCCGCGTGTGTGGCCTTCAAGTGACTTGGTGTCTCCAGCCAGCTGAAAGCCTCTTCAGAAATAGGTTTAGAGAATATTAATGGAACAGGATAAAGAAAGCCAGAACGTTTTAGGAATTAGTTGGAGAGCAGGTTAGTGTACCAACAGAGAGGTGGAATGACCAAATTTTTCAGAGTCCTGAGTTTTTGATTTGATGCCTCCCCCCCCGCCGCCCCCGGAAAAGTGGCTTCCCAGCCTGCCTTGAAAGGCTGGCCGTGGGTCCGGAAGTAGCTGTCTGTTCTGGTGGCTTCTGGACCTGGTCTTCCTATGGACAACCTGGTGGGGTAGCTCTGCCTGCCTCCTTATTTACAGAATTTGTGGGAAAAACTGCATTGCTTTTGATCCGCTGCCAACGAGGAGTATTTGAGGACATAGAAAGGTTTGATCAATACACTGTAAACTGAAGGCAATGGGGTTACCTGGTGCCGGATGCAAATACACTGATTCTGGCACTTCGGAGTCATGTTCCAAGATCAGAAGCCACCAGCTCTGCCGCCAGCTCTCCGTGGGCCCTCAGCATGTTTCCTCAGTGTTCTGGGCCTTTGCCTCTCCACCTGTTCCTCCCTCTCCTCCTCTAAGATCCTGGGATTTTAGGACCCACTAGTGGGGCCTCTGGGGACCTGCACCACCCCGAGAGCCGCTGTGCGGGAGCAGCAGGTGAGGCATTCCAGAAGGGAGCCAAAAGGCCCCCTGGTGGCCAGGTGCAATACCACCACGTGGCCTGGGTGCTGTAGACCTTGGGTAAACATGTCCCAGGAAAGCTGTGGAAACCAAAGGGAGAACGAGAGGCCACCGCAGGCACCATTCGTCTCAGTCCTGCTGACTCTCCAAGAGAAACAGCGGCAGTAATATATATATTTTTTTAAGGCTTGGCTGCTTACAACAGCTGTCTCCTTGTTCTCAGAACTGGAATTTATTTTCTCTCTCCCGGGTAGCCTGGAATGCCTGGAAAAAACAAGTCTCAGTGGCGAGAATGTCTCTCACTAAAACGCCATTTAGGGGTGTGTTATCAGGGCAACACACAGCCGCACACGAGGCTCCCGTGACTGGATGGCAGTGTGAACCTGACGGCCACCATGGGATTTAGTGTCCCCTGGTCATAAGGAAAAAAATTACATGCCTCGGTGTCAGGCGTAGGCCCCAGGATCTCTGCATGCCACACACTGAGCCCTCACTGAAGGCCTTTCAACTGAGCGTGATTTATCAGGGACAACTGCATTTTCCATATTGCATCAGGAGTCCCCAGTTGGTCATTCCACCCCTCCATGAAGACGTCAGTCACCAGAGCCCACGGCGAGGGCTCAGCCTCACCCGGCTTCCTTTGTCCCCGGGTGGTCCGTGTAAGCCCTGCAATAAATCAGAGGCAGGAGGCCACGTGAGGAGACCTGGGATGGCTGCTCGGGCTCGTAAAGCTCTTCCCTGGGGACACGGTGAAGTGCTCCTATTCTACAAGAGGGGGGCAGTGCAACACGGCGCTCAAGGAACTTGACCTTGCGGTAGACGAGGAGTCCTGGGCAAAGCCAAGAGTGCCGTAGGGGATTTCTCGCCCGACAGCCCCTGTCCCAGTGTGAGTGGTGGTCATCCGGGGTGGTGGTGGTGGGGTTCTGAGGACCTGGTCGGGCAGCATGGGGCGCTCAGGGCAGATGGGTGTCCCCATGGCTGTCCTGCTAGGTGCTTGCCAGACAAATGACTCAACAGCTCCTCAGAGCCTCTTCAAGGTGCTAGCTGCCATCTGCTCTCCAGCCAGGACACATGACTGCTAACCTGTGTGGATGACCTACAAGACGGCCAGGAACGGAGCTCCAGGCTCTCGCACGCAGCCAGTCAACTTGGAAAACAAGTCAACGGGAAAAGAGGTTGCAGATGCAAAGCCAAGTAAGTCCAGCTCTCCAAGGTCCAGCTCCCTGGGGCAAGCTGCTGTGCTCCTGGGCCCGCTCCTTCTTGTATCCGGGAGATCTGGAGTTGACTTTGTGCCTCCTGGAGGACTGGGGCTGGGCCCACTCACCTGCACCCAGCAGAGCTTGCAAGGGAAGGGACTAGGACCTTCTGTTATACCCCGTCCAGTGGCATCTCCTTATCAGGGCCCTGCAGGGGTTTCTAGGCCATCACCAGTGGCCTCGTGCAGCTTCCTTTGTCACAGAAATGAGAATTGCCCTTTGGCCCAGGGTTTGGCTTAAGGTTCTGGGAGTTCTGTTCTGACCGCATTGCTGGTGGGGGGGTTGGGGAGGTGGGCAGAGAGAACCCACCCATCCCATGAGACTCACAGGAAGTCCTGCTGCTCCTGTTGGTCCTGTCACCCCAGGGTCTCCTTTGCTGCCCTGAAACGAGAGAAGGGAACCATAGGTCCTCCCTGCATGGCTGCCACAGCCACATCCATGCCCGCTTTCTGTTCTGCTGTGAAACCCACACAGCAGCTCTGGCCAGGTCCCAGAGCTGTGCAGGAAGCAGGGGCCCTGTGGACTCCAGGCTGGGGAGGGCTGCAGGAGCCTCTCCCTGAGGCAGCACTCTGAAGCAGGCTCAGATGGCGCAGGACACGGGCAGGGACAGGGAAAGCAGGCAGGGAGTCCGATTTCCCCACCCGCCCTTCTCCTGGCAGCAAGGTGGGTGGAGGGAGGGAAAGAGGGGGCTGCTTGTGCACCCAGGGCCGTGTCCGAGCTGCCTTGAGCCGATCTGAGCCCTGAGAAGCCCTGAGGCTGGCTGGGAGGGGCCCACGTGGAAAGCTCTCCCCACCAGTGGGCCTGGTCCTTCCACCCTCACCCTCACCCCTGCCGCCTCCACTGGGGCTTGGGCCCAAGCCTGGAGAATCATTTGACTGGGAGCCAGGTCCAGCTCTCCAGCCTCCTGACTTCTGGATGTCCCCCGGGGATTTCATGAACACCCCCTGCCCTCTGTTCCATGCAGAGGCCCCAAGTCATTACAGGGTTTAGGTGTGCACGGGGACAGTGGCGCCTGGGGCCATGCTAGCTGGTATGTCAGGGAGGCTGGGGCTGGAGCCCAGATGGAGGGAGCTGTCTGCCTCCCCATGTCTGTCCACTCACAGGCACGCCATGAGTGTGCCCGCAGAGCCGGCTCCTCCAGGCTGCTGTGAGGATGACCGGGGAAGGGGGAAGGGCTGAGCCTCCTGGGGCTGAAGCAGTGACCCTGTCAGGTCCCAGGCACCAGGGCTGTGGGGGCTGGCCTGCCCCTCCCTCCTCGTGGAGTGCTCACCCTCTCGCCCTTTGGTCCCGCCGGGCCTGGAACTCCAATTGGTCCTGGAGTGCCCTGGAGAGGTGAGAGAAAGCAGAGGTGAGGGTCCCCGCACCCCAGGAGCCCCACCCAGTGCCTGGCTGTGAGCAAGGAGCCAGACCCAGTTTTCAGGGTTGGCGAGGCCAGGCTCGTCTGGACCATGATCCCTCTGGATTTGGGGGCCTCAGGGGAGACAGTGCCCCCTCTCCCCGCCTCAGAGCCAGATTCCTGGAGCGAAACCCTTTTGCATCACAGCCGAGCTCGCCAAGGCTGAAAACAGCAGAAGGACCGTTGATTAGTTTGCTCCCAGAAGCACCTGGGAGGGAGGCGACCCCCCTCCCAGGGGTCGGACCAGCATCCCCTTGGCTGTCGCAGCTCCACATGCAGCGGGAGGGTCTTCATGCCACAGAGAGTGATGGGGGTGCACACACAGAGGCAGACGCGGGAGGTCCTCCAGCTGCCGCCCACCCCACTGCAGACCCTGGCCGCGGGCCTCGGGTCCACTCCTAGGTAGGAGTGGATTAGCATGCCTCAGGTGTCACACCACGCTGGCTTGGCGGTGAGGTGCGTGGTGAGCTGACCTATGCAGGGCTGTGGGAGGGCCAGGGGCTACAGCCCTCAGAGCTGCGGTGCCTGGAGACAGAGCAGGGCTTGCCATGATGTCACCCAGCATCTCCCCAGCTCCCTGTGTGCAGCCCAGCTACACTTCCCTATTGCTCAGACGACAATGTGGAGTGTGGGCTTGGGCCGCGGGGCTCCAATGGCAATGGTGACAGGCAGCTAAGTGCGCGTTTACTTCCCATGGAAACAGAAGGCAAGGGGGTGTGCAGGTGCCCCTGGCAACCGCGAGGGGAGGAGGGAAGCAGTATCGCGGCGCTAGCAGCAGCGCAGAGGCAGGGACAGGCCGGGCCAGGGGACGGGGCAGAGCAGAGCTCCCGAGTCACCGGCTGGCCTTAGCCCGGCCCCAGAGGCCCCTGGATAGCCGGGAAGTTGCTCAGCCTGAGTGCCGGTTTCCCCATCTGTGCCATCAGCCTGGGAGCGTGAGCACCTGCCCCCTCAGCCAGTGCCAGGGTTAAGGCCTGGCTGCATCTGGTGCTGCACCTGACACCCAGGAAGTGCCCTGGAAATGCTAATGACGTTAGCAGGGCACAACGTTGTCCCTGTATTTTTCTTTGTTTATGATATGGAGTTTTTGAGAAAAATGAGGTCTCAAGTCCAAGGGAACAGAGTACGTGAGTTCGCACTGCTCCCCTCTTGCCCAAGACGGATGAGGTGGGCAGTTAGGAGGAAAGTCGTGCTCGCTGATGCCAGCCACTGACCCAGCTCCTGAGACAGGTGCGCCAGGTGAGGGGACGACAGGAAAGGAGGCACTGTGGGTGGAGGCGCAAAGCCATAGAATGCCTGGAAAATCAGGGTGCGTTCTCAGTGTGCGAAAGTCTATGGTGCTGACCCCACTGACCCCCGGAGGAAGGGGCTCTGAAAGGAGGTCACCTTGGGCAAGCCTCACCTCCCCTTCTTGAGGGCATTCAAGAGCATGAGGCCCTGAGGGGTCACTCCTGGTCCTCCAGCAGCCCCAGGCTTCCCCTGGAATCGGCTGGGCACCCTCCCACCAGGGCTGGACTTCAACACATCCCTCCTCTCCGTCTGCAGGCCCTCGTCTCCCTGCAGGGTCACTCTGGCCGGCTCATGAGGACCTTGGGCAGACGTGGCCCTGGTAGCACCCCGCAGGGTACAGCTGGCCTTGCTGGAGGGAGGGGCGGGGAGCACCTGCTGAGCTCCGCTGGTGGCTCCTGAACAGGAGAGCCCAGCCTCTTGGCCCCTGATAGAAGGTGACCCTGCACCTGGGCAGGCCCCCTCTGCTCTGCTGGTCCCATGCAAGGGGTGAGGGGAGGTGGCAAGGGGGATGTCCTCCCCAGGCTGGCGTGGCTTGTGGTGGGCTGTGGGCACTGTGGTGCCACAGACAGTGAAGGCGGGGCACTGCACTGGGGCTGACCTCGGGGTGCCTCCATGCTGCACCTGCTCTCACCCTTCATTGCTGTCCCACCCCATACACACCATTCTGTGTGGACAGGCCTTGTGGGCAGACGGGAGATGGACAGAGCTCACAGCATGGAGATGACACAGCGTGATGGCACATATAGACACTGTTGTGTTTGCTGGGGATGCTTTGTGGTCCCGGGCTGGACGCAGCATTGGGAATCTGGGGCAGAGCTGTTGCAATGCCTCCCTGCTAGCCCTGGCAGGTCTGAGGCCCCCAGCTGTGTGCCACAGACACCGAGCGGAGCATGGGAACCCTCCTGAGGTCGGTGGGACAAGGCCAGACTCAAGGGGAAAACGAGGCCACAGCGGGAAGACAAGAGGGACCACAGGCGGGGGAGGGGCGGGGGTGATGGAGAAGCGACACTCACCGGTGGCCCAGGCCTGCCGTCCAAACCTGACGCTCCCTGGACGAAGGGCACAGTGTGACCAAAAGAAGGGGGGAGGGAGGCACGGGAGGGAGAGAAAGGGAAGAACAGGAGGGAAGAGGTGAGTAAAGCAGTGACTCTGGACAGACACAAACGCCGGCCACCAAACACCACGGAGGAACAAGCTTGGAGGACAGGGACACCGACGAGGACACGGAGACACCGCAGGTAGGGCCGCCACGGGGCACGCCGAGCCCGGAGCAGACGGCTGTTCTGACCCTCCACGCCCCTCCATCCCTGTTCTGCTTTGTCCTCCTTGAAGCATCTCCCACGCCCCCGCCAGGGGCTTCCACGCCTGGGGAAAGGGACACAGAGGAGTTCCTGGACAGACGTCTGAGATCAGAGCTGGGCTCTTCTGGGTGGTGCTTACATGGACGGGCCCTGGGTGAGACCAGGCCATGTCTGCACCTCTGAGGGTAACCCGTGTTACAGCTCCGGGTTCCGCTACCTGGGTGGAAGCTGGCCCGTGCCTATGCGAGCAGGTGGGAGGAGAAGCCCCTGACTAAGAGCCTGCATTGCCCTGTACTTGAGCACACAGAGCTCGGCCCCACTCGGCCCTTCCCTTGCCGCTCACAAGGGCTCCCGTGGAAAGAGGCTTTGCAGACGGCCCACCGGGACCCGCTCAGGCCACCTTGCTCCAGAGCAGACGGCCAGGTGGGTGGGAAACTCTCGAGACCCATTTGCGTCCTCACTCCTTGCTGCGTGTTGCGTTCGCAGTGGGAATGGACTCTGGCTCCTATCCTGGCTTACAAAGCTGTCCCTGCAACCCCTCTAGGAAGACCACGGGGAAATTAAGATTCCAATGTGACAAACCAGGGGGAGGCAGCGGCAGAGGCTCAAGCCAGTGAGGATGGAGCTCTTGAAAACTGCTTCAACTGAGCCGCAGTCTCAGGTGTTGAAGGTGGGGAAACACGCCAGAAAAGGGAGGTGCTTCTGCCCGGGAGGCGGTGTGGGCAGCACCGTTCTACAAGGCCTTGATAGTTCCTGGGCCGACCTTGACTGACCAGGAGAGGGAGCCGTGGGTCTTAATGCTGGCTGCACCCTAGTGTCTCCTGGGCTGCTTCAGCTGGAGTGTCCAAGATTAGGGCCCAAGTGGAAACACAGGGGCCTGTGAGCAGTTCAAGCAAAATGAGTACTAGGACAACGCCATGCATGGATTTCAAAAAACTGGCGCCCCAAAGTAAACTCATTGGTTCAGCCCACTTTCCTCGAACGTCTTTTGGAAAGTTCCCGGAGGATCCCAGCATGCAGCCAGCACTGAGAACCACGTCTGTAGGGCAAATAGGAGAAACTCAGTGGGATCGGAAAACAGGGCTCTACCACGTGGACTAGAGCATGCAGGAGAAGCCTGGAAACAGAACGGTGGCTCGACACCACTTATGTCTGTGCAGCATCCACGCTGCGGTCTGGAGTGGAGGGCGTGAGCTGGGGGCTCTCAGGCCTGTGTGGGCCACTGACATGCTGTGTGTGGTCTGCAGTATGGCAAATAGTTTTGATCTAATATTAGAAAGTGAGGAGGGTTCACACCAAGTGCCAGGTGCCCAGCTTCCTCTGAATAATTGAAAGATGCAGAAATACTGGACCCTTGTTCTTCCAAGACCATAGCCAGTTGAGCTAAGGGGCGGCTGCCTTTGAGAAGGAGCACACAGTCTAGGGCCCCTGGCCCCCTGAAGTTCATCGGCGCTGCCTTCTGTGGACATGCCTGTTCATGATTTTCTGAAGCTAAGGAAAAACACCCATGCCTCTGTCAACAACCAGGAACTTCACCTTTCCTGCAACGCTGCTGGCTTACGTTACTGGTTTGTGCCAAAATGCAGAATTCTCCAGTGTGCACTGGGGCTGCCGGGGCCTCACAGGAGAGACTTGGGGTTAAGTAGGCCCAGCAGCTCTTCACCAGGGAGGAGTGTTAGTCCTTCCGGACACAGCTCAAGACAGGGGAAAATGCCTGCTAAACTCATCAGGGTCCTGCCGTCTGTCAAGTGAGCTCGCTGTAGCTAGGAAACATCCCTACATTCGGTGCTCTGGTGAGGCCGTAGTCGTACCTTCAGCTGTTCAGTTTCTGGGATTCTATGGACCAGGTCAGCCTCTGCCAAGCTCAGAGAGTAGGGCCTCCCCTTGTCTGCTTGCTCCCTACAGCTATGGCCTTGAGCTGGTGACACAAGACGTCCGAGTAGCTGGAAGGGACTCTTCACCCGGTGGCCTCCGTGGAGGAGCTAGCTTCTGGCCCGGCCCGGCTGCCAGCTTCATACGTGACCTCAGGTAACCCCCTTCCCTCTCCGGGACTTCCTGCACCAAAGGGGCCCACCTCGGCAGCAGTGAGGGAGTGGAGCACAGGGCCCCAGGCTTGGAGGTGGGAGGTGTCCAGCAGAAGAGACTAGGGGCCTCCGGGGGCAGGGGACAAAGCTCAGCTGAGCCCCACCTCTGGGAACATGGATGCCTCCAACCTGGCTGGCTGAGGTCACAGAACTGCAGACCACATGTGACCTTAACCTGCGGGGGCCACACAGTTGGGTTTCTCTGCTGTGGCCCGAGCTTAAAAGGCAAGGAGATAAGAGGTTCTCTTGGGGCCCCTCTGGGAGAGCAGGAGAGAGGTGGGGAATACCCACAATCCCATTGTTCCCCAGCCCCCACACCCCCCATGCCTGGCCCCTGTGGGGGCAGACTTGCTTGCCCTGAGATCGGGTATGTCCAGGGCCAGAAGTTCTGCCGTCAGCTCCTTGGGGTGGGCCCTGTCTTGCCCAACTTCCCATTCCTTGACACCCAGGTCAGGGCTGGGCCCAGAAGAGCCCCCGAGGAGAGGATCAGAACCCCTGGTCCCGCGAAGGCCCCCCGCTGGGTCCAAGATACTCACAGGCAGTCCCAGAGGCCCCCGGTCTCCTTTCTCTCCCTGGACGCCCTTCTCTCCTTTTGCTCCGTCCAGTCCTGCTTCTCCCTGGAGGAAAGGGAGGAGATCAGAGCAGGGCGTGTCCCGGGCACCTCATCCCTGCACTCTGGAGGCCTGGGTGCAGGGCTGTGGTGTGCAGAGGGGAGGGCTGGAGGTGGCTGGTTGGGGACACCAAGAATCGCCAAGTTCTTAGCCTGTCACTCCCTTCATTTGTGTCCCCTGTGTCCCTGCGGTAACTTTGAGGCCCCCAGAGGGAAATGGGACAGGTAGAGAGGGGCTAAAACAACTGGGGCCGTGCAGGGTCTGCTGGCAGGTACAGGAATTGTCACCCCCAGAGCTCCCAGGGCTCAGGAGAGCATACTGAGGCCCTGATGACTTGGGCTGCAAAATTCTCCTCCAGCTCTTAAGGGACCCACCGCAGCAGAAGTGAGCCCAGGGCTCCAGGCTTGGGGATGGGGTACATCCAGCTGAAGAGACCGGGGGCCCCTGGGAGCTGGGGGCACAGGGATCTGCCCAGGGCAGGAGGCAAGGACAGGGTCACAGCAGCCTCCAGTTCCTGGCCTAACCGGAATGTGAGGAGGAGATGGGGAGAGCCCAGCCACCATGCAGTGGCCTTGGATGTGGGCAGGGTTCACATCCTCAGCCACCTCCCCCTGCACCTCAGGGTGAGTGAGGCAGGGGTCTGGGGCAGGGAGGTGGCCAAGGGACTCCACCACTTGCTAAGAATCTCACTTGTCACATTGTGGGGCATTCCAGGTGTCAGTGGTGAGTGTTAAGGGGACCCTGGGGTCCCTTCTTGCTGTGACTGCACCCCCCACCCCGGGCTGGATCTCCCAGGACTCCATTTGGGGAGAGGGTCAGCCGGGCCTCTGAAGCACTGCCCCTCTTTGCCACTGTTACAGACGCAGCCCCTCTCCCACCCCTGGCCCAGCCCCGGTCACATGATCTCCTCTTACCTTTGGTCCAGGAACACCTTGAAGCCCCTGCATTTGGAGTCAAAACAAGGCATTTGTGTTAGAACTGCATTTCCAGTTACTAGTCTGGTCCACAGGCTGGTGCACAGAGGAGCTAGTGCTTGGGGTCCAAGCCCCTGAGGCAGAGGGAATGCTAGGGAGGGGTCAGGAAAGGCAGATTCGAGAAATATAGCGAACGTTAGATGAACTGGTATTTGCAGAGTACTTAGAATCGTGGCGGGCACGTAGTAAGTGCTGGCTGCCACCAGTATCCTTCCAGTGACAGCAGGGATTGCCCAGGGCCATGGGGACGTGAGCTGTGCAGACAGCATTTGTGGGCTTGGGAGCTTTGGGGGTTCTGGGGTTCCATTAAGGGTCACTTTCTGTTTTAAGCCTGGTCTTATGCTGGCTGAGTGCAGGCAGGAGGGAGAGGAGGAGCAGAGGTCTTGTGACAAAGGGTTAAATCTCTGGACAGAGCTCAGGGATGAAGTGAGCCTGGCACTGCCAGGCGGTCAGCTGTCCCTGGAGCATCGGATGCCTTGGTGGCCCTGTGGGGCTGTGAGCTCAACCTGGGAGGGACGGGGGTGGGGCCCAGTGACCACCCCAGGGAGGACAGGTTAGCTGCCCAGCAATAGTGGACCCAAGAGCCAGCAAGCCCTCTGAACTTACCGGAGGTCCCGGGGGCCCCTCTGGCCCTGGTGGCCCAGGAACCTAGAAGGCAAAAGGGAGCCCTGTCACACTCCAGCCGTGCCTCTCTCCGACACAGCCAGGGTCTCGCCCTTCTGCCTGGCACAGAAGGTCTAGAACAGCTTAGAAACATGTGGCACCCACTGGCTTGCATAGTGTCCGGTGCAAACATTGCCAGGAAACCTGGGGCTCTTCCAGAACAGAACCAGAAACTCAAGTGGTGCTGGGCCCTGTTCATGTCTGCAGAGGAATGAGTGCTGTCTACCATGGGTGGGGCAGGAAGTCTTGGTGCACCCTGGTCTCCCCCACTCCCTGTGTCTCAGACTCAGTGGTTGCGTGCCTGGTCTTGGCAGCCATATATGCTTGAGACCCTGGGTTTGGACACTGGTTATCTGGAGTGGGAGGAGGCTGGGCTGGTTCTGGGGCACTTTCCTCATGTGCCCCCAGGTTTGGGACAGACAGCATGGGGACTGCTGGCCTCCATTTCCCTCAAGGGCAGGAGCTCCAGGCCATCCTCTCTCGCGCGGAGCAGGGTGCCCGTCAGGGTCAGTCTCTGACGAAGACGGACATGCACACGTGCACAGTGGCCGCACCTGCTCCTCCCACTGCCCCAGGGCTACGTTGCCTTCACTGTGGCTGGGGAGAGGGGCACTGGGCAGCACAGTGGCCCCCAGTGCTCCCTGGAGCTGCTTCTGGAAACTGTTTTCCTGAAAGCAAATCCACTGCTTCTTAAGTTATTACCTAAATGAATGGTGCACAGATGGGGGGGGGTCGTGGTCATGGTCATGCACAGGCTGACATTTGCAAAAGCATACATACTCCCCCAAACAGCCAATGTGACCAATACCATAATGTAGCAAAGAAAAAGCTTAAAAGTAACACAGGCTCATTAAAGTGTTTTATAAATTAAAAAGAACCTAGCTGAGAAGCACTGCTAATATTTGTATGTTGCTCTATTTCTTTCCCCTCTTTGCTGATGCATACACTAGAGCTGAAAATATGTATACACTTAGATTTTAAACACATACACACAAATATATGCCTACAAAGCCAATCTGGTCTCCTGGGGTTTTTCACTGAGCATGAGACCCATTTTCCCTTCCTGCACATTCTCCACAAGCCTCCTTGTAAAGTAGCCTGAGCTACTATGGGGCGGACACTGTGGCACAGTGGGCTAAAGCCCCGGTCTGCAGTGCGGGCATTCCATGTGGGGGCTGATTCGAACCCTGCCTGCTCCACTTCTGATCCAGCTCTCTGCTCTGTATGGGCCTGGGAAAACAGTACCCACGTGGGAGACCCAGAAGACGCTCCTGGCTCCGGATTGGTGCAGCTCCAGCCATTGTGACCAACTGGGGAGTAAACCAGCAGATAGAAGACCTCTCTCTCTCTCTCTCTCTCTCTCTCTCTCTCTCTCTCTCCTTCTTTCTCTGTGTAACTCTGACTTTGAAATAAACAAACAAACCATTTAAAAGAAAGAAAGAAAGATGAGTCACTATGCAGCCAGGGCTTGCAGCAGCACTCGGCACAAGGAGAGCTCTCAAACATGGTGACCACTGCGAGTGTTATTACCATACAGCATTTCACCCTTTTCTTCTTGGTAAAATGTAGGCTGTCTTCAATTTTTACTTTAAATACTTTGGAAGTTAAATCATCTTTTTAAGAAAATGTTTCTCCCAGAGTTACAGAGCAAGAGGGAGAGACAGAGACAGAGATCTTCCGTCTGCTGGTTCACTCTGGCAGCAACAGCCGGAGCTGGGCCAGGCCAAAGCCAGGAGCCTGGAACTTGACTCTAGTCTCCCACATGGACGGTAGAGGCCCAAGCACTTGGGCCACCCTTGGCTGCTTTCCCAAGCTCATTAGCAGAGAGCTGGACCAGAAGTGGAGCAGCCAGGACTGCAACCCATGCTCTGATAAGGGATGCTGGCATTGCAGGGGTTGGCTTAACCTGTGCACCACAACACTAGCCCCAGGGGGAACGCTTGAAAACTTAATTTGAAAGGGGGAGAGGGAGGAGGAGAGAGGGGGACAGAGAGGGAGAGATCCATCTTCCAGGGCACAGAAACGCTGGGCTCTGGAATGACTGACTTCAGACAAAACCGCTGTCAAATAATCTCTCAGGACACAACAGGAAGAGCAGGTGCAGCCTACCTCTGCTCCCGGGTCACCCTTCTCCCCGGCTTGTCCTTTCTCTCCCTGTGGACACAAAACAGTGCACTGTGACTGCCAGCAGTGGGGGAGCCTGGGCACAGACACACCTCACATCTGTGACAAACTCATCAGATTGGGATGCTGCTATCGAAGTGCCAGCAGGGGACACCCCTGAAGATGCAGGTGCAGTCGGCCTGTAGGACAGAAGACAGAGTGCAGGTGCTGCGACGGAGCACTGCCTCCCAGGAACTGAGGCTGCAGCCTGTGTGGGGACAGGCTGGCGCTCAGTGTGGACCCTGCAGTGGACAGACCCTAGGGTGGACCTGTGATTTGTTTCCAAGCCACAAACTGGGCGTCTGGCAAAGGTGATGGTGTGCCACCCCCTTGAGTGTGCTAGATTACAGCACACAAATGTTACACAGAAAACATCACAGGTTGAAACGTCACAAATGTTACACACACTGGGTCTGCCCTGCTAGCACTGGCCACTGGAGGGAGCCCCGCTGGCCCTGACCTTGGCTGCTGTCATGCCATCTGCCCAGCAGGGAGAGGGCCACCTGGCAGGGAACTGTGGGCGGTCTTTAGGAGCTGAAGGAGGCCATCCTTGGTAAGGTACTGAATTCTGCTGAGAGCCAGTGAGCTGGAAAGAGGGCAGCTGCACCTGGACTACTGCCTCCGGAGACCCTGCGCTCGGGCTCCCGACCCCCAGAAACTACAAGGTGTATGTGGCAAAGGGCCCTGGAAGCCGCTAAGGCTGCAGGGAACAGAAAACAAATGTGGCTCCAGAAGCCAGAGCCTTGGTGGGGAGGGGAGGCCAGTGGGGCACGGCGAGCCAGGAAGCCTCCGTGCCTCATCCGGGAACATCTCTCCCTCTTGGGACAGCTGGGCACCCTGCAGCTGGTGGCCCCAGGGAGGAGCACCCCCACTCGCGTGCCCTCGCCGCCTGGCCCTCTCGCCTTACTGTAAATCCCGGGAGCCCGATGGGGCCGGGCGGTCCTGTTGCTCCAGGCCTCCCCTGGTCACCTGGTTCTCCTTTCTCCCCGGTGGGGCCGTCTAGACCCTGCAGATCGGCAAAGTTCTCTGTTAGTCGAGCTCAAGGCCACCTGCTGAGCATCTGCGACCCACAGTGCATGCACCTAAGGCTTCCTCCTCCAAGACAGGGTGCCCAGGACAGCCCCCAGGGCACAGGTGGGAAACTGTGGAGCCCCAGAGAAGGCTCCTGAGGCGAGTCAGCTGCCCTGTGGGCCGGGCCGAGGCCCCTGTTGCATATGCACCCTCTCCTGGGGCCAGGCCCCCGCATGCTCTCCAAAGAGGCCCAGCAATCCACAAGGTACCCAGAGATTATCGTCTCATTTCAGAGATGAAGCAGCAGACTCTGCAAGGACCAGGGACTTTCCCTAGGTCATGGCCAGCACTCAGGTCTCCTGAGGTGGGACCCCGGCCCTCACAGAGAGGCTTGATGGGAACCAAATCCTGGCTGGGGCTGTGCCGAGCCAGCGGCACGCGTCGGGGGCCATGCCACTCACCGGTGAGCCTGCCGGGCCCGTCTCCCCTTTCTCCCCCTTCTCTCCTGGGTTCCCTGGGGGCCCGTTGTCTCCCTTTGTTCCCGGAGGTCCATCCTTTCCCGGGGGTCCCTGGGGACCAGGGGGGCCCATGTCTCCTGATTTGCCACGAGGTCCCTGTAGAAGACAGCAACAGCACCTCTCAGACGTGTGAATGGGGAAAGAGGAGAGGAAAGAGAACGAGAAGGAATGGGGGGCCCAGAACACTGGGCTCCCTGGGGCCGCATTGCCCAGCCCACCTGCTGCTCCCCGTGCAGCTGAGTGAACCCCCTCTACCCCTCCCCTTCCCCAGGTGCCCCAGGCCTCACGGCTGGGCCTGCTCTGCAGCCCTCCTGCCCCCTCGACTCCCAGCCCCGGGTGAAGACTGCTGCCCAGGTTTGTCTGGGAATGTCCGTCCTCACCTTCTCTCCATCAAGTCCCGGAGGGCCCGGCAGTCCGATCTCCCCCTGCGGTCAGAACAAGCGCAGGGACTCAGCATACAGAATACATCTCTACCCAGCGCCGCCATGCACCAGGAGCCTTCTCTGCACCCTCCCCCCTCTGCACTTGCTCGCTCCACTCTCACTGCTGTCCTGGGGGTGGTGCGGTTCCCTCCTATCTCACAAATCGGGACCCTGACACACAGAGATGTGTGGCCACAGCTGCCAGGGGTGGTGACCTGCCCCATGGCCCACCTGGCACTGGACAGCCCGGGCTCCCCGGCTGGTGCCCCACCGAGCACTCCTTCATCTGCACACCCACCCATGCCCTTCTTGGGTCAGGGAGGGCATAACAGGGCACCAAGGGCCGTGACTTCTGCCTGATAGGTCAGGGGTGGCTTCATGGAGGGGGTGGCTTTTGAGTTGGGCGTGGAAGGGTAAGAAAGAGGGAAAGAGACTTGCAGAGAAGGTGGCTTCAAGAGTAGAGGACAGTCTGCAAAACCGCAGTGCCGCCGGGTGGTCAGGGAGAAAGCAGAGGTAGGGGTGAGGGGTGAGAGTGGGGAGGGGCTCAGATGCCATGTTCCTGCAGGGGTGCCCCCAAACCAGCGCAGCAGCTGGCAAGGGCAGGGGCGGGGGGGCGGGGGGGGGGTTCATCCTGGGGAGGTGGGAGGAGCTGCAGGAGGGCAGCCAGAGTCCTGTGCTCAGGGTTAGGCAGGTCTCACCTTCTGGCCTGGGGTTCCTGGAGCTCCGGGTGGGCCGATCTGCCCGGGAAGACCAGGAGGGCCCTGGGGAAAGAGCAGAGACACCTGGGAGAACTCCGTGGCCGGGGTGGGGGTGGCTGTTTGGGGGGGTGGGTAAGGGGGTCTGCTGTTGTCACATATTTCTTCAGCGGCATAAACTTTTTTGTTTTGCAGAGGAAACAGGACGGGAAACCCCACAGTGCAAGCTGGTGAGCGCCGAGCCGGGGTGGTGTGGGAGCCGTGCCCAGGAGCTGCGCCCTCCACTTCCCCCCTGGGCCAGCCCTGGAGGCTCCTGGGGCTCTGAGAATTGAGGCTGAGCTTCCCAGATAGTGACTCAAAAATGCCCGGGTGTCCATCAACGGGAGAATGCACCATGTGTCTATGTGGCAGGGAAATGGGGACACAACACGACACTGCGGAGTCGGCGCAGTGCCGTGTGGTGGCCCATGTTTGGGCTCAGTGTGACCCTGACTCCCAAGGTGCACCACAGGACCTTCTGGAGGGACTGGGATGGGTGGCACATGCGTGTGTCAACCCTCACCGAGCTCTGCCCCTGGAATGGGCCCATTTCACTGGGTCTGCGTCGATTTTAAAGGAAAAATGTTTCCAGTGAAGTTTTAGCCCAACAATGCATTGCAGTGTCTCCACCCCTCTTCCCACCGCCTGCCCGGGGACTGGGGTGTCACACACCGGTGTCTGCTTCCGGGTTTGTCAGCCCTGAGCGTGCCCTGGGGCACGAGGCCGCAGGAAGCCAGCACCCCCACCCCCACCTCGGAGGTCACACATGGTGGGGGCTGCTTTCACCACAGCCGCTTACTGACAGCCGTTGCCGGCAGACGCAGGTACAAAACCCAGCTTGGCATGCACCGGGCTCTAACAGCCGATCGTGACACGGGCGTCTAGGAAAGGGGAAGTGTGCATGCTGCTACGGATGCTTTAGGGGCATGGGTTTTACGAGCTGAAGGATGAGAAAAAGGAAACGGTGAGAAGGCAGCCTCGGTGCTGCGTGGGGTTGGCACTCAGCCCCAGCGCCGCCAGCACTGCTCACGGCAGGCCTGGGGAAGAGCTGGCCCGGAGGCCAGGGCAGCTCAGAGCCACCCCGTGCGAGTCCTGGCCCTGCTCTGCCAGTCAGCCCTCATCAGCAGCCCCGCGTGTGCTCTCTGGAGGTGAGGGCGCCTGTTCTCGCCTCCACGCTGCCCTCCCGGGCCCTGGGAGTGAGGAAGGAGGAGGACTTACCATCAAGGCCAATGTGCGGATCTCCTGGAAAAAAAAAAAAACAACCAACACCACGCAGTCAGTCGCGGGCAAGCAAGAGCCACGGGGCAGGTGCCTGGATGCCTTGGAGCTGGAGCCCTCCAAGGAGCCTGGGAGAAGGGGAAGCCTCATGCCACGTCTCCCCGGCTCAGAGCTGCAGTCACTGCCAGCGTCCGCTCTCGGCGGCTCCAGGCCCTTGGGCCTCACACGGCCCTCTGCCCTTCTCACTCTGCCTGCTCCTTCCTGGGCTCCCACAAGCCCCTGTCAAGGTTGCAATGCTACCTCGCTTTAAAGAGACACAACATGGCAACATGCAGAGCCCTGAAAGTGAGGGAGGAGTCCTGCCTCTGCAAAAGAGATTTCATACGTGGTAAATGAGCTCATCCATGTACCCAGATTCCCCAGTGGCTCTTCACCAAGGGTGATTTTGTCTCCCAGGGACATTTGGTCACATCTGGAGACGCATTCTGGTTGTCACTGAGGGCAGGTGCTACTCATCTAGTGTGATATGGTGCACGGCCACGGGCCCGGCCATCAGCTGCCTTGAGCTGAGAGCCAGCAGCAGCTCCACCCACCCCCCTCCCCCCCTCCAGCCCCAGCCCTCCTGCCTCTGGGAGACCCCACTCACCTGGAGGGCCTCGCTGATGTTGCCATTGTAATCCACCAGCTCTCCTTTCCCCGGCTCACCCTTGGAGCCCTGCAAGGCAAGTGCAAGAGCTCACCCTAGGGCTGGGCTCAGGAGAGCAGCTGCTGCTTGCTCTGTCTTCTACGGAGCCTGCAGCGCCCACTGGCTGCACCTGCCTGCACACAGTGCATCCTGAGCAGCTGCAGGGGGTCCGCCTGGGACCCCATACACTCTCAGGGGATGCCTAGGCATCATAGAACAAACAGGTGAAGCAGTCTAGGTCAGTTGGGTCTGTAGAAGCCTGAGTCTGATCACAGTTGCCATGGCAGCCCACTCATGTGGGGGCAGGGTGCTCTCCCCTCCGCACCCCTACTCTCCCTGCACGGAAGACACCAGGGTGAAGCCACGTCATGCTGTGGTCTGGCCGTGGGCCTTGGGGCCAGCTCCGTCTTCCTCCCTGGCTGTTCCAGGCTCCCCCTGTTGCACCCTGGCTGATAAAGCTGGGAACAGAGAACTTGACATCCCCAGGCATATCACGCATTAGGGGATGTGGAGTGGGGGCAGGAGGCTTGTGTGAACTCAGGCCAACAGCACGCAGACCTCCTGTCACTGAGGCACAGATCCCACCCCTTCAGGAAACTGTCCCAGTGCACCTGCCACATTGCCCTCACTCGAGTTCCCCTGGGCTCCCTGTGGTCTTCTGGAGTGCTGTTCTGTCTGTCCTGGGTTAGTTGCTAGCCTATGTCCTCTGGCCACCTCTCCCCAGTCCCCCAGGTCAGCTACCTCCTTTGGAATAGGGACCTCAACCCTTGCTTGCTTTCTGTCCAATCCGCTCAGGTACGAGGGGCCCAGTCACATTTTGCCCATTTCCTGGGTGGCCAACAATTGTTGTGGGGAGCCTCTGAGGTTCTTTTAGAGCCCACTGTACTTGTGAAAAAACCTGAACTTTGGAACTGGTTCCAAGATGGAGGAGTAGGGAGGGAGCTTACTGCTCTAGCCCAGGAGAAGATAATTTTTAAAAAGTGGGGATAGTGTAGTCTCAGGGAAGAGTTAGGAAAAAAATGGCAGAGGAAACTACCAAAATTGGAGGGACAAAGTGGACCTACGTGGAGAGGGTGGGTGCCCATGGCTCAGGACTCCAACAGCCGAGAGCCTACGCACCAGCACTGGAAAGTGAGGTAAGACGAGACTGCAGTAGCCCAAGCCACTGGTGAAAAAGAGGGAGAGCCTAGAGGGAATGAGGCTTGAAGCCCCATGGGGGAAAATGCTCCAGCCAAACTAGAGAGGAAAAAAAGAAAAGGATGGACATGTTTCTCTCTGCTCACTTTACAAAGGTGTAGTTTGACAAGCTGATAGAGTGGGCACCATTTTGGACATATATAACAACTGTGCCAGCTCATATCTGCACCCAGCAATCAGCTGAGCGGAGACTCCTGATTCTGTTAGGGAGAACTAGCAGGGGGCTAGGAGCTTGTGACTGTGTGAAGCTTCTGAGCAGGGACTGTGAAAAAACCTGAGGGTGTGTGGGAGGGACTTTGAGCAGTCTCAGTGGGAGACGCCACAAGCTGTGGGGTTCCTGGTTACCTGGTGAGAGACACTGCAGGGGAATCTGAACTCACACTGAGGACCGCACAGATCCTTTGTGTGGTCCCTGGGACAGAGCAGATGAATATTATACCCACTGGGGCCAGTGCTCAGGCACTGGTCTCCATGGAGGAGAAGAGCTCAGCTGAGCAGAATATACCTCCCTTCTGATTTAATAAAGAGAGAGAAGACTTACCATGCCAACCTGGGAGTGTCACCTTAGACATGCCCTTAACCCTGGAGAACTGAACAGAGCTCTCTGACCACACCCATCACAAGCCTCTAGAGATTCACTGAAAGCAGACAGTCCACTTATCTACAGTCATAGTACAAGGATAAAAGCCACCACAGCAGGGGAAAAAAGAAGAAACCGACGGGTATCTCCACAAATGCCAAACAACAAATGCAACAATCCAAGAAACAAGAATAAGGAGACAACATGACGCTCCCAAAAAACACAGCACTTCAATGCTAGATTATGAAGACAATGAGATAGAAGAAATGCAAGAAATGGGACTCAGAAAATTGATCCTAAGGCTGGCACAGCAGCTCACTAGGCTAATCTTCTGCCTGCAGCACTGGCACCCCAGGTTCTAGTCCCAGTTGGGGTGCCAGATTCTGTCCCAGTTGCTCCTCTTCCAATCCAGCTCTCTGCTGTGGCCTGGGAGTGCAGTGGAGGATGGCCCAGGTGCTTGGGCCCTGCACCACATGGAAGACCAGGAGGAAGCACCTGGCTCTTGGCTTTGGATTGGCGCAGTGCACTGGCCACAACACACCGGCCATAGCAGCCACTTGGGGGGTGAACCAATGGAGAAAGGAAGACCTTTGTCTCTCTCTCTCACTAACTCTGCCTGTCAAAAAAAAGTTAAAAAAAATTGATCATAAGAGTACATAGAAGTAATCAAAAGCAAACACACGAAATGCTGAAATCCATGCAGGACATGAAAGCAAATCTTTCCCATGAAATTGAGATCTTAAGGAAGAATCAAAATGAAATGAAGTCAATAGAACAAATAAAAAATGCAGTGGAGAGCCTTAACAACAGAATCAGTGAGGCAGAAGAGAGAATGTTGGACTTAGAAGACAGAGTACAGGAATGTATACAGTCAAACCAAAGACAGGAAGAGGAAATTAGAAATCTAAAAAGCACTGTTGGGTATCTACAGGATACCATTTAAAAAACCCAAACATTAGGGTTCTAAGAGTTCCTGAAGGTATGGAGAGAGAGAAAAGATTAGAAGGCCTTTATAGTGAAATACTAGCAAAAAACTTCCTGGGTTTGGAGAAAGAAAGGGACATCCAAGTACAGGAAGCACACAGAACTCCCAAAAGACATGACCAGAAAAGATCCTTGCCACAACACATTGTAATCAAACTCACCACAGTGAAACATAAAGAGAAGATTCTAAAATGTGCAAGACAGGCCGATGCCGTGGCACACTAGGCTAATCCTCTGCCTGTGGCGCCAGCACACCGGGTTCTAGTCCCGGTCGGGGCACCGGATTCTGTCCTGGTTGCCCCTCTTCCAGGCCAGCTCTCTGCTGTGGCCCGGGAGTGCAGTGGAGGATGGCCCAAGTGCTTGGGCCCTGCACCCCATGGGAGACCAGGATAAGTACCTGGCCCCTGCCATCGGATCAGCGCGGTGCGCCGGCCGCAGTGCGCTGGCCGCGGCGGCCATTGGAGGGTGAACCAACAGCAAAGGAAGACCTTTCTCTCTCTCTCTCTCTCACTGTCCACTCTGCCTGTCAAAAAATTTAAAAAAAAATAAATAAAATGTGCAAGACAGAAATGTCAGATTACTCTTAGAGGATCTCCCATTAGACTCACAGTAGACTTCTCATCAGAAGCCCTGAAGGCTAGGAGAGAATGGTGAGATATAACCCAAGTCCTAAGAGAAAAAAACTGTCATCCCAGAATATTATACTCTGCAAAGCTCTCATTTGTGAATGAAGGTGAAATAAAGACCTTTAATGACAAACAGAAATTAAAAGAATTTGTCACCACTTGTCCAGCCCTGCAAAAGATGCTTAAAGATGTATTAAACATAGAAACATGGTCATCAGTATGAAAGAAGGTAAAGGAAGAAAATCTCAATAAAAGATCACAGGAAGCTCAACGTATAAATTAGAAATATCTTTGGAAAAATGGCAGGGCAAAGTCACTACTTATCAATAGTCACATTGAATATAAATGGCCTCAACTATCCAGTTAAAAGACACAGACTGGCAGAATGATTAAAAAACCAAACTCATCTATTTGCTGCTTACAAGAAACACATCTTACCAACAAAGATGCACACAGACTGAAAGTGAAAGGTTGGGAAAAGATATTCCATGCCAACAGAAACCAAAAAAAGAGCTGGTGTAGCCATCTTAATATCAGACAAAATAGACTTTAACACAAAAACTGTTAAAAGAAACAAAGAAGGGCACTATATAACAATTAAGGGATCAATTCAACAGGAAAAATAGACTTTAACACAAAAACTGTTAAAAGAAACAAAGAAGGGCACTATATAACGATTAAGGGATCAATTCAACAGGAAGATGTAACTATTATAAATGTATATTCACCTAATTACAGGGCACCTGGCTATTTAAAAGAAAGGCTAAGGGACTCAAAGGGAGACATAGACTCCAATACAACAGTATTAGGGGACTTCAATATACCACTTTCAGCAATGTACAGATCAACCAGACAGAAAATCAACAAGGAAACAGCAGATTTAATTGATACTATAGTCCAAATGGATCTAACAGATATCTACAGAACTTTTCATCCTACAGTTGCGGAATACACATTCTTCTCAGCAGTGCATGGAACTTTCTCTATGATTGACCACATACTAGGCCATAAAGCAAATCTCAGCAAATTAAAACAAATCAAAATCATACCACACATCTTCTCGGACCACAATGGAATGAAGCTGGAAATCAGCAACTCAGGAATCTCTATAGCATATGCAAACACATGGAGACTGAACAACATGCTTCTAAATGAACAGTGGTTCGTAGAAAAAATCAAGAGAAATAAACTTTCTGGAAGCAAATGAAGATAACAACACAACATATCAAAACTTATGGGATACAGCAAAAGCAGTGTTAAGAGGAAATTTTATAGTAAAAGGTGCATACATCAAGAAATTAGAAAGGCATCAAATGAACTATCAATGCATCTCAAGGATCTAGAAAAACAACAGCAAACCAAACCCAACTCGTAGGAGAAAAAAAATTAAAATTAAAGAAATCAACAAAATTGAAATAAAAAAATACAAAAGATCAGCAAAACGAAGAGCTGGTTTTTTGAAAAAATAAACAAAATTGACACACCATTGGCCCAACTAACCAAAAAAAATGAGAGAAACCCCAACCAATAAAATTATAGATGAAAAAGGAAATGTAACAACAGATACCACATAAATAAAAAGAGTCATCAGAAATTACTACAAAGAGTTGTATGCCAACATACTGGGAAATCTAGCAGAAATT